AACTGGTCAATCCAAGATCAACTAAATCTTCATTCAAACTTGACGAGGCTTATCATATGACTCTAAAAATTAAAAAACAACAACAACAAAGCAATCAAAAATTTGATCCAATCAAAATGAAATAAACTCTAGGATCGAACACCCAAAAGACACAATGACTCATAGGACCAACCCCCACAAACCCAAATCCACGAGCATCTGAATCTGATAAAGGAAAAGGGGTAGTGGGAAAATGTTAGACCGGTCCAGCCAGTCTGACGGGACCAGCTTACGCCAATTGGGCGGAACTCTTTTGCCTCCAGGAAGAGCCGCAATTTTTTGCCAGCTCAAGGGAGCCGAATAGGAAGGATTTTGAAGGTAGTTTAGGAGGAAAATTGAATGTATGGATTGTTTAGGGATTTATTTTTTATTTGTATGCATTAAATAGTTTGTTTTCCTAGGGTTAGGGCATCTTGAATTTGGCTGAAATTTGAGATCTCTTAGATTTAGGATTTCCTTTGGGCTCTAGCGGCATCTAGAGATTTGGGAGAGATCGATCCTCCCTTGAATAGAGGATCAATTGTATCTTGCTATTTTCCATTTCCCTTTCATCAAATAATACAAATTATCTACTATTTTCGTGGTTTTGTGCGGATTTTTTTGAACAATTCTCGCTATTTCAAAGATTGATAGGAATTCACAAGTGTTTCCTATCAGAAAACCAATAGGACCATGTTACAAATGTGGTTTATATGGACATCTATTAGCAGCTTGTAGGAAAAACAATCCTCCTAGGGCCAACTATATTGAGCAAGAGGATGACCTCGAAAATGAGGAGGAAACTTAATCTGAACAAGAAAATGAGGACGAATCAGAACAAATCAATGTTGAAGGTGATCAAGGAGACCATTATTTAGTTATCCGTAGGGTTTTAACCACCAAAGTTGATACCGGGGACAAATGACTTAGACGAAATATTTTCCGAACTTGTGTTGTAGGAGGAAAACTATGTACCACCCTCATGATTGATAGTGGTAGCTTGAAAAATTTTGTATCACGACTCATGGTAGACAAACTTAAGCTAAAATCCAAGCTACTTGCTAAACCTTACAAGATATTCTGTTTTAAAGGAGAAGAAGTCATTATCACCCAACAATGCAGTGTTAACCTCTCAATTGGAAAATCCTATAAATATCAAGTATTGTGTGACATCATGCTCCTCGAAGCATATCATATTTTACTAGGTCGACACTGACAATTTGACCACAAGACAATTCACAATGGCGAGAAAAACACTTATACTCTAACTCAAGACAACAAACAATTCACTCTATACCCCAAAAGAATATTCTTGACCCTCCAACCGAAACTACCCAATCGACGAAAAAATCAACCACTTCTGAATTACTTCTCAACACCAATGAGCTAACAAATTTTGAAATATCCTATCTAGTGTTAGGAAAAGAATCTGAAAAGACCCAAGAAATTCTCGTGATAATACAACCATTAATCAACGAATATTATGATATAACTCCTGAGGAGTTACTAAATTCATTGCCACCCATGAGAGATATCCAACACCACATTAACCTAGTTTCAAGAGTAACCCTATCCCATCTCCCTCTTTATCAGATGAATCCTTCTGAACACGAAGAATTACATAAGTGATTGAACTTTTAGATAAAGGTTTAATCAAAGAAAGTATGAGTCCATATGCTGTCCCAGCCTTGCTTACAACCAAAAAGGATGGAACTTGGAGAATGTGCATGGACAGTCGAGCCATAAATAAAATAACTATCAAATATAGGTTTCCTATCCCCAGATTGGACAACGTGCTCGACATGCTTAGTGGCGCCAAAAAATTTTTCAAAATTGATTTGCGGAGTGGATATCAACAAATCAGAGTACGACCTAGTGATGAGTGTAAGACAACTTTTAAAACAAAAGAAAGATTATATGAATGGCTAGTCATGCCTTTTGGATTGTCAAACGCCCCAGCACATTTTTGAGAACTATGAATCATATTTTACGACCTTTTATTGAAAAATTTGTGGTAGTTTATTTTGACGACATCTTGATTTACAATATTCATCCTAATGATCATCTTGAACACGTAAAATAAGTCCTACAGACTTTAAGAGAGCAAAATTTATACATCAATTTGAAAAACTGCTCTTTCATGGCTCAAAGTTTAACTTTTATTGGATATATTGTCTCTGCTTATGGTATTAAGATAGGCCCTGTCAAAATAGAAGCTATTTAAAGCTGGCCAACCCCGAAAAATATTAGTGAAGTTTGAAGATTCCATGGTTTAACATCCTTTTATTGTAGGTTTATGAAAAACTTTAGTACCTTGATTGCACCCATCACTGATTGTTTGAAAAAGGAACTTTTAAATGGACACGTGAAGCTGAAAAAGTATTTCAATAGATTAAAATAAAAATAAGCCAAGCAACCCATTTAACTTACCATATTTTGATAAATGTTTGAGGTGGACTGTAATGCAAAAAAGCCGACCCATTGCTTACTTTAGTGAAAAACGTAATGATACCCAATCTCGATATTCAACATATGATGTGGAATTCTATGCAATTGTTCAGGCCCTGAAATTTTGGAGATGTTACCTTATTCAAAGGGAATTTGTGTTAAATAATGATCATGAAGTGCTCTGATTTTTAGGGCGCTCTGATTTTTAGGCTCTCAAAAGAACTTAAGTATAAGACATGCCAAATGGACATCATTCCTATAAGAATACACTTTTCATCTTAAACATGAAGTAGGAATAGTGAATAAAGTTGTTGATGCTCTAAGTAGACAAGCCCATTTGTTGGCAACCCTTTACCCGACCATAATTTCCCTGGATTTCTTAAAAGAAAATTATGCCACTGATCCATATTTTAAAATATTTGAGAATCATGTTGCGTTCTAGTAGAACGGATCTCTCGGCTCAATTTACCATTCAATAAGGATTTTTTTTAAAGGAACTAGGCTTTGTATCACCCAAAGTTCTCTACGTGAACAACTTATTCAAGAACTTCACAGTGGAGGATTAGGATGACATTTTGGCCTAGGAAAATCATTGCCTTAGTCGAAGAAAAATATTATTGGCCCCACATGCGAAAACAAATAACTGAATTCGTAAGACAATGTAAAATATGTCGATCATTTAAGGGAACATCTTAAAACACTGGTTTATATACTCCCCTCCCGATTCTGAACATGGGAAGATATCACTATGGACCTCATCTTAGGTTAGCCTGTTACAGCCCTAAAATTTGACTATGTGTTTGTTGTTGTTGATTGATTTAGTAAAATGACACATTTCATTCCTTGTAAGAAAACTTCTGATGCATCTCATATTGCTTATTTTTTAAAGAAATTATAAGTCTACACGACATACTTTGAACTTTTACATCAGATAGAGATACTAGGTTTTTAAATCTTTTTTGGAGACCACTTTGGTCAAAATTAGGAACAACAATCCAATTTAGTAGTGCATTTTATCCACAAACTGATGGGCTAACTGAGGTAGTAAACAGGAGTTTGGGAAACTTGGTTAGGTGCCTTGCATGAGAAAAATCATCCCAGTGCCCTACACCATAATGGCCGACTTCATCATACTTGACAGTTGACACCTCGACAATCCCCAATGCCATCTTTGGTTGACCTCTCCTAAACACATTTAAGGTGATTGTCTCAACTTATCATTTGGGGGTTAAATTTACTGCAAGCGGCTAAGTTTTTACCATTCAAGATCTATTGCAATCTTGGGCATGCTATCTAAAGATAGTCTGATTTGCCCTACAGGCAGTTGTGCAACTTGAGTTCAACAGGGGAGTTGGCCTTGAAACCTTTGACGCCATAAAAGAAGTTATCCTCTTAGGGAGTTGGCCTTGTTACGTTGTCTTGAATCTAATAGAGTCTATCTACTTCTAGGTCCAAAAGATGCGAGAGGCTAATGATTCATTCAGAAGTAAATTGTTCTTTTCCTTAACTTTCTTTTGCCAAAGCTATTTTGGTCTCAAAACTCTGTAAGCATAAAACATAATAATAATAAATTTAAATGACGCTTAACACTTAAATTATGCTCAATATTAATAAATTTAAATGATCCTTAATTTTCTCTTTCCAAAGCTATTTTGCTACAACTTAAATGATGCTTAATACCTTCTTTTGGTTTTTTTATTATGGACATTTGTTTTCTTGTATTACTTTGTTTACGTCTACCTTGGCAAATTGGTATGAAGTAATCCCAAGTCCTGTTTGACAAAGAAGCTAAATTCTTATAGAATGCAAATAATTCTTATAATATCATTCATATTGTTGGAAGTTAGAAAGCTATTTGATTTGATAAAAAAAAGAATGCAGAATAAAAAAATGCAGTTAAAAAGAATGTATTATATTTAAAATGTTTGAAATTTTTTGGATGAGTGTAAAATGAATGCATGAGATTACTTTTTTTTGTTTGGTTTGAAGTAAAATGAATGCAATATAAAGTCAAAAAAGGCGGTGGTTGGCCAACGACATAGGGTGGCTAGCGGTTGCTAGTGGCGGGCGGTGGCTAGTGGCGGCGGTTGGCGGGCTGCGACAACAGTGGTGGCCGGTGGCTAGCAACAGTAGTGGTCCGACGATGGTGGTAGTGGAAGGTGGTGGCATCTGATTATGTCAAAAGGTGGTGGTGGAAGGTGGTGGCAGTCGATTGTGTCAAGTGGTGGTGGTGGATGATGACTGACTGTGGCAATGTTAGTAGATGCAACTGAAATGGGTGTTTACAAGGTATCTTGATTGCAGAGAAAATATTTTTTGCTCAAAATTAGACGAGTTTACTTGATCTCAATAATTAGCACATTATTCCAAATATGATAAAATATAACAATAATGCATTCAATTTCTTCTTCCATCTTTTTCAATAAAGATGCATTTGGGATAATTATTTCACGGCTTCATCTTATACTTGCATTGAATCAAACGGGATGATTAAATATCAAATCAAGAGAAGTTTTTTGTTATTTCTCCTGCAGGCACAAAGTGACAATGAGCTTGCAGAAGCTTTGAATGTGAGAGCTCTGGTCACAGCGATCAAGAACTTGGAAGCAAAAGTAAGCCAACATCTCTAAAGAATTAACAGCTAAAGTACAAAAAATTTTGTTCATAATGCAAAAGATTATTTTCCCTTTTTAACGAAGGAAAAAAGCACCACTTATATGATTGGATTTTTTTCCTCTCATTTTAATGAAAAAGTAATGGTTTGTTTACAATTTGGTGTTCTCTTTACCAAAAATTATTTATTTTTTCCCCTCTCATTTTAATGAAAACCTCCTTTATGTGATCATTTTTTTGTAAAAATTATTAATTGAGATTGTCCGATATGTCCGGAGGTCAATTCAAATGCGCAACGTCACCTAATATACAATAGATTTGATGACATGGCATGTCTGAATTGACCTTTGAATACGGTTGAACTTTGCACAGAATAATCTCTCCATTTTTTTTGATTAATTTTGAATGTGCATCCAAGCTTATTTATCAAATAAGGGTGGTGCTTGGAGAACACTAAAACGTCTTTATAATTTTATTAAGCTGATTATAAAATTATTATAGAAAAAAGAAGTTAACTATTCTAATAAAAAAACAATTTTCTAATATTTTTTTAATAAATGATTAATAAATAAAATTATAATTGTGTCTGAAAACTAAATTAGCTAAAATCATATTCCAAACAAATCCTAAATCTAATACAAAAGGAGTTCAACTAATATCAACAATTATTGGTATTTAATGGCCTAAAATTTAGTCCATATTATTTTTTATAATTATTAAGATTATATATATATATGAAGTGCTTGAAAATAAATTATTCATTTACATCATAAGTTACTTCATCAATTACATTATTTTATTTCTCGGTGAAATATTTAATATTTATTTCTTGGTGAAATATTTAATATTGAGTGAAATATCTTATCACATAAACTATATATAATTGCCTTTTACATTTTATATAAAAACTATGTTTAACATTAAAATATATGCATGAAAAAATATTTTTTAAATAAATTAATATTAATAATGTTTATAAATAAATATAAAATTTACATATTTTATGATATTTATGTAAATGAACCTTTAATATTTTTTTTTAAACGGAGCGTAATTCAGCGGAACCTAGCGAGGCCATTCATTGGCATCTGACCCACACTTGTTTTGCTCCACTGAAGAGGCGAGACCGTAATAGAGAGGATTCGAACCCGAGATGGGGGATTTCCAACCGTGCTCGTCCATCAACCACCGTAAACCTCGGCGAGTAAAATTATAATTTTCAATGGCTGGCATGGCATTATAGATTGTCACTTGAAAAAAAAAAAATCAAATTAAACTTTGTTTAAAACCATAAAAACATCTCATCAAAAAACATTTGAAAACTAACAAAGAAAACAAAATAAAAATAATATTATAACTGTGTAAAGCTATGAAAAAACAATCTCAAATGTACCTTCACCCAATAATAACCAGAATTACAAATGATTCTGTCTTACCTTCAGCAACACAGATTGTTTCACAGTTTCCAAAGAGCCTGAGCTTGTGGCTATAAATGGAGCTTTTATTCTGTACGGATGCCGGACGGGTCTCCCGTCCGGTTAAGCACTGGGTATCCAACGGTATCGAGTGCGAGTACCGAGCTGGATACTCATCAATGAGATGACGTGGCACATTTCTATAAATGTGAACTGCAATTACAAAACAAAGTTGATATATGTTGACATCACATCACAATCTATCAGCAGAAGAGAGAACATTTCTGGAGGAGTCATCCAATGGTAAATTTATGAAACCAATAAATTCTGCTTGATTCAACAAAAGGAGAAGCAGGCATAGATAAGCAGATATCAAACAGAAAACCAAAAAAAAATCCAGGCCAAACAAGATTAAACATATTAATTCTGAGCCACAGGTAGAAACTAAAAGTGCAAGAGGCTATTACATGAATAAGGGTGAAAATAATTTAGAATTCAATAATCTACTGATATCTTAAACTCTTACTGTGGTTACATGTAGCAGAAAAATGAAGTTTTAAAGAAAATGCCAAATTTCACAAACAAATTTGTTGATAAGCAAAGTAAATATCCAAGTGAGAGGATAAGAAGTTGGTAGGTTCAAATGTATATATGCAATGAAAAAAAAATAATAATAATCATTTAAGAAACTTTCAAGTAGATGTTAGCTCAGCTTTAAAGACAAAATAAGAGTAATGTTGTGCTGCCTAATTCAAGAAAAATTATTACGTGCGGATGCCGAACACGTTTGGACGTCAATCAGGAGCCGCCACATCACCCAATACACAGTACATTACGTGACGTAGCGACTCTTGATTGACCTTTGGATACGTTCGGCATCCGCATGTAATAATCTTTTCTAATTCACAGTCACATAAGATTATTAAACTCTATTTTTCTTTATTTCTTAGTGACAACACACAGAGTTTATTTGAGAGCTTTGAGTTGAAAAGCATAGCCACTTTTCAAAAGGCACTTCTCATCTCAACCATAAAACCTGAAACAAAAATCAAATAACTATTAAGGGGACTGAAATCAATAAATAACCATCCACAAGTCTCTTTATTTGACTGATAATCATAGGCAGAAATAAGAATAGAATCAACTCATGGCAAAAACATTAAAAAGAAGTAATCTTGGGACCAATTGGGTAAAATGATAAGTACCTTAATAGAAAGAAACAAAAATGCTGTGTTGCCAAACTATAGGCAATAAAAAGTACTGATATGTCATATATTGCAATAAATTTATGCAAACAAAGTAAAGTCATGAGATGGTAGCAAGAAAAAGTGTTAAGTCATCAATAAGCAAATAATTCAAACTCCTAATAGAAAATTCTTAGTAGCCAAGTAAAATAGAAGACCATGAAAAGCAGCAAAGCAAGGCAAGCTTAAGCCACCACCAAAGCACCAATTAACATACAACAGCAACTCACAGGAGCTATCCCTTAAGTTATAATCTCAAGCTAACATTACATAAAAGACTAATTAATAGACAATGAGAAGAGACCTGCATTCCAAGAAAAATTGAAGAAAATACAAGAGACATGAAGGAAAAGCTTAAGACCCTAAAGCTAATAGAAGAGGTCAGAACCATGAGATTTTCCAAACTAAGTAGAGGAGCTAGAGCCAGGTCCATTAAGCATCTTGTCCACTTTCTGAAGAAGGCCCTGCATCTCATCAACCAGATTGTCCCTTGCCTCAGGTTTCAACCCATCTGAAGATGAACCAGTAATGTTGACAGGGGAAGAAGACCAAGCAAGGGTCGAAATCATTGTTTCTAGGCTTTTTCTGATGTATGGAAGTGCAGGCTTAAGAACTGCAGACTTTTGATCAGGACTTGGCTGTGAAGGAGAGATAACATCAGAAATTTGCAGTGAGGTGGAGACAAGATCATGATTTGTCTGTGAAGAATTGACAAGGTTTTCAGACAAGTAATGGAGGCGGTAGGTGGCAACCGATCCGTAGGGGCCGGCTTTATCTTTAAACGCATTTTCAGCATCTGCGACATTTGCAAACACGACACGAGCTGAGTTTGATTCTTCAAACAACTCAATCCCGGTGTCGATCAAAGCACCATACTTGCTATATGAGGTAATAAGATCTTCTATAGAAGGAATAGCAATGCCGGAATGAAAGGTCAACTGAAGAGCAGCCTGTCTTCCATAAATAGGGTCAACCCTCTTGGCCTTCCTCCTTCCAGGCTTCACTTTATGAGGACCAGCACCAACCTTCTTCTTGGGACCTGATTCACCTCCTTCAAGACATTTCTGAAAACTTTTGCCATTAGCATCTTCCTTACTTCCTCTCTTTTTCTCATTCATTAAAACTGGTTTCTGTGAATTTATAGCAACATTCTTGCAAACTTTCTCTTTCTTTTTAGGACCACCATCATGAAAACTGCTTACAATCTGAAGATCCACATTCACTGGTGCTTCTCCATTGGCATCATTCTTGCCTCTTTTCCTACCCCTTCTCTGTTTGCATTCACCTGAAGCATGTACCATATGGAGATCTGAATCAGCTGGAGCTGTTTTGATGGTTCCATCGTTTAACTCCTTTTTCCTTCTAGCCATTTCTTTCACTTTGCCTTCATCTAAAGAATTGGCAAGAAAATGATCTGAATCAACAGGAGCTCCTTGGTTGGTTCCATTCTTATTATTTCCAGTATTTTGTTCTGTGTCACCTTCATCTAAACCATCTTCCATGTGTAAATCCAAATTAAAGGTAGCTCCTTGGCCTGCCCCATCCTTTGATGTCTTCTTCCTTCGAGGCCTTTGTTTCTCCCTATTATTCTTCTTTTGTTTAGAATCTAAGTCATTAGACCTGTCAGTTCCATTCTTGTGACTTCTCTTTAGTTCTTCAGGATCCAGCTTAGTTTTCTGATCTGCTCCACGCTTGCTATTACTCTTCCGCTGTTTAAAATCCAAATCAGTTTCCTTATAAGCTCCATACTTGCTATTCCTCTCATTACATTTCCCAGAATTATCCACAGCATCTTCAGTTTTAGCTATAGATTCAGGAAACGGTTTCTTGTAACCCTCAATGTCATCACCTCCAGAGAAGTTAGACTTTCTATAAACAGCAAAGAAGTACTTGATAAATTTTGCAGATCGGTTCCCTTTCAGATGAAGAGGATTCTCTGCAACAGCAACAAATTCTGAAAAAAACTCAATAGTCGGCATCCTTTCAATTTTCAGCAAAAAACTCTTATCATCATCTTCTTCGCCGCTGTGATCAGTAAAGTATCCAGCTTTTCTTGGAATCTTCTCCTCCAGATTCTTTGGTAAGGTGGCCAAAAACTTGCCCACCTCTCTCAAATTAGTATATGGAGGTGACAAATACTTGCTCTTCTTCCTTTCCCTTCTCCCTGAGCTAGAGCCAGCCTCTTCTTCTGCCTTCAACACTTCAAACTTTTCCTTGCTCTTGCGCTTCTTTGACCGCAAAATCCTCTGCTCCACCACCACCTCTCCCTCACCCTCATCATCATCAACCTCTAATACATCCAAATCCATCTCGGCAATTGGCTTTGTCATGCTTCTCCTCCTCCTCTTCGACGCCCCAATAACCAAGCCCTCCTCTTCTTCCTCCTTGCCACCAACCATTTCTACAGGCAACGCATCAAGATCAATCTTATCAACCAAATCCTCTATCGCTCGTCGTCTATGAAACTCCCATGAATCTCCCTGCATCAAAATCTTTCCAAAGGCAAACACCCAACTCTTCAACTGCAAAGTCTGGAGCACATTCACCACAAAAACATCCCTCGCGGCATCCATAATCCAATCCATAAGCTCCATCACCGAAAGGTTAGCAATAGGAACCTTTTTGCTGCCAACTTCTAGCACCGGCTTCGGACGGGCCTCAATGGGCACACAATGGCATGTCATCTCCAGCCCCAGACTTTTCTCAATCTCCTTCATACAGCTTTCAAGAGCACGCACAAAGCTACTCGAGTTGCTCTGCCTAGACATTTCATCAAACACCTTGAGAAAAGGTTTCAGTTGCTTTGGTTCGCACCAGGCTAAGGTGTCGTAGTCTCCAAAGTAAGAGACTAGAACAGATTCCTTCTTCATCTCAGGCGAGACAAGCGCCGGCCACCATAACGTGCCTTTGACTTTTGCCCAGACGAACTCGCCGGCGACGAACGGAGTATTCACAACAGCATTGTACTCCGTCTGCGCTAGGGTTTCCGCTCCAAGATCGGAGCTTTCGGTGGGAAGCGGATCGGGGGTTAGGGTTTCGGAGGGTACAAGGTTTTCCATTTATGCTCGACGGAGGAAGATGGCGGAAAAGGCCGGGTGGATAGCGAAAAAAACAAAGGTAAAAATATAAATTTGGGATGGGGGAAGTGACGAAAAGGGGATTGCAAGGGGAGTGGGATATGTAAAATTACCTGAAATAATGGATTTTTACGGAAAATTCCATCGTGATCTTCGCGCCGGCGGCGAGAGCAAGAGTGAGAGCGGAGGAGTGTGAAGGAGATGGAGAAGAACGAAGAAGAAGGCAGTGCAGCACCAAGGAATTATGCGAGCTAAGGACGTTGTGCAGGTGATTCAATCCTATGCCAACTCATGCGATCATAATTTCATTTACTGTAACTGAAAACAGTTTGATTGCTTTGAGATTCGTGTAAATTGAATTTATCTGCGACCCATAACAGCTGGTTAATCGTGTACTGATAGAAGCTTCAAGGTATTCGATCTACTTCAATATTCGTGCAAATTTTGATGGACCACTCAGATCTCGACTCGGTCGGGACCGAATCAAATTTAATAAATTAAGTCCAATTTTAAATAAAAATTAGAAATAATATTTGTTAACACTCTTAAAAATTGAATAATTTATGCACATTTTCAACAGCTAATAGAGTAATGTTAACAAAATAATAATAATAATAATAATTTTGATATCATATTTATAGTTTGTTATGTGTCAATATATTGACACGACCTGAAAACCCAATCTGAACCTGATTAGAAAATTTCGGGTTATGGATAACTCATTTGAGAATGGGTTGTGTTCAGGATTTCGACTCGTTTGTAAAATCGGATCTGGTTCGGGTTGACCCGGAAACCCGAAACCAACTCAGGTTTGACCCGAAAACCTTGCTGCTGCTCTCCGGCGCTCGTCTCGCATGAGTAAGACTCACATCGCATTCGAACTCAGCCCGTGCTCTGTGCTCGTTTCTCATGAATCGCGTCGCATTCGGACTCTGGCCGCGTCGCATTTGGATTCAACCTCGCGCTCTAGCTGCCGGCGACCTCTTCTGGGACAGGAATTGGCTGAATAAACACTCAAACGAAAGAAATCCCGGTTGCCATCAATGGATTTACGGAATTTGGCTGAATAAACGCGCAAACGGAAGAAAGCTCTCGTCAAGTCGAATGCTTACAAGTCGGGTTCGGTTTGGGAAAAGTGACCCGATTTCCAAACCAGGTCAGGTTCAGATTGGTTTAAAATCTACCGGGTCAAAATCAGGTTGGATCCGAACCCGACCCGTGGACACCTAAGTGTTCAATCAAAATGGTAAGAATAAAGTTAGACCTTTATTCCAAGCTCTTACTATTTCTCTATTGAATTAGTTTCAATTCTTATACGCTTCTCAGCTTGTTCATTGATATGAACATCAAAACTTTCACTTCATTTATATGTCAATGGACATTTAGCTCATATTTCCGTCAAATATTTCATTTTGCGTGCGAAAACAATAAAGATGAAGCTAGTCTTTCTTTTGAGCTCTCACTATTTTGGCGAATTATTATGTCCGGTCACCGGACGTCCGGACACCCAATCAGACGTGCCACGTCATCCGAATACACTGGGTCCCGTTGTATTTTAATGACGTGGTGCGTCTGAATTGGTGTATGGACAAATCCAAATACCAGACGTAATAATTTGCCCACTATTTTATCGTAAAATTAAATTTAGTTGGATCGTTTCGGTTCTTATATGTTTTTAAGTTCAATCACCGATTTATATTTTATAGGGCGATTTTGAGATGAAATGCATTGGTTCTGTTTTTTCATATCTTATTTTAAATAATGGTCAGTTGTTACTATTTTTTTTGTGGAATTAATGTGTAATAGTTGTAAGGAAAGTAGATCGTTTAAAAGTCGTCAAAATTAGACTTTTTTTGCCTTTTTAAGAAGTCGCATAATAAGATTTAATTTGGAATATTTTTTTTTATTGTTTTCTACAACAACTTTTTGATGTGGGGAAAATATTTGAAGAAGATAAATCTAAGAGCTAAATAGCTCAAACACCTAAAAACAGTGAAAAATAATGTTTCAATTTCAAAAATATTCATTAATATATCTCTTCTTACAACCATTCTATTTATACTAATCAAGTACAGAAGCTTAGAGACACATAGAAGGTTCTAGAAACAGCTAACAAATTAAAATTGTAATGCATAAGGAGCATTTTTACTAAGATGCTATGTACATTCTTCGTAATGCTGCATCATTCTCTTCCCGTATGAAGAAAGCGAAGCAGGGGGTGGAGTCGGGATGGATCTGAGACGGAGCATGCAGGATGGAACACACAGGCGTGTGGGTGAGGCAAGAAGTTCGGGACGACACAGTCACGTATGGAGAGTGATGCTGGTGCGAGTAGTGTTGTGTGGGCGAAGACAATCGAGCACGGGGTGTGTGCTTGGGCAGGCTTGGGTCTAAGTGCGTGGGAGGTGGACGAAAGACAAAAGACTAGTGTGCATAAGGAAGACGAGCGTGCAGAACTAAGTACGGCTTGAACATGCAGGATGCAAAGGAGAGGGCGGGAGTAGAACTGAATCGCAGAAAGTGTCTGGTTGTCGTTGGTTCAAATTGAATTGTCAGTATGGTTGTCGGCTGATGGAGGTCGAATCACTAGTATGATTGCCGACTGATGGAGATTGCCTTGTGGCGCACACGGGCACTGCCCACAAAAAGTATCAAAACCCCGATCATCATCAAGGGTTGTATATATGTTTTCCTTCATCCATGGTCTTCCTCAAGCATCCAAATTTTGATCGTCGTCAAGGATTACAATGGCTCTGATACCATATGACGTGGGGAAAATACCTGAAGAAGATAAATATAAGAGTTAAACATCTCAAACACCTAAAAACAGTGAAATACTGTTTCAATTATAAAATTATTCATTCATATATCCCTTCTTACAATCATTCTATTTATATTAATCAAGTAGAGAAACATAAAATGTTCTATAAACAACTAACAAACTAAAATAATTATGTCTAAGTAGCATTTTTACTAAGATGTTCTGCATTACTTTTTATCAAAAAAAAAATTGAAAGCAGCGAAAAAATTTATGATAAAAAAGCTGTTCAAAATGAGGCTTAGCCCTCTTATAGCTATCACAATAGTAAGTTTGATAATAAAAAAAAAACACTTCTTGCAGTTAGCACTGCTCATTATTAAAGGAACTAAAAATTGTAATGCTTTAATGTGTTATTCAGCTAAGAAATAATGTGAAATAGCAAAAAACAACTAATACAAAAGATTTGGAAACAAAAGATACTTCTTTTTCAGATATTTTGATAAGATGAGGAGCGAGAAGTTTGGAACAAAATAGCTTATTAGTAACTTGATATTGTTCTTAACTCTTTGTTCAAGTTATATAATAGTCTTAGACTTCCGTTTGAGATAACTTTTTTGCAGCTTCTTAAAGAAGCTTTTTAGTATAAAAAGAAAAAATTTTGGACAAAAAAGTTGCTTTGAGAAGTGATACGTCCTCAAAAATTGCCTTGATCAAGCACGAATCTCGTGGCACATTCGAGTTGAAAACTTTCAAAATTAAATTTGGGATCATATGAATTCCAATTTCAGCAAACTTATAGTCAAACTGAACATCTCAAAGAGACGAACAAAACAACACCAAAATTGTTCCAATGCAAGCCCAAATGGGTCTAAATTGGGGCCCGAACCATATTTTGAAGGGTTAAAGTATTATTCGAACAATAAAATGATATCCAAATATGACATGCTTATAGTCAAATCAAGCGTCTCAGCAAGACGAATCCAACGAGCCCAAGATCAATGAATTCCGACATCGTTAAGGCACATAAAAAGTTGAAAAACTCTCTACAATCGGGGAATCAATACGAGCCATCCGATGGAGCACTCCGAACATGCCCCGGATCTTCTCTAGGTTTACGGGATGTCCCACTCATGAAAATCTATGAATATAACCCCAATCTCTACCCTGGCCGCCGACCACTACTGGACCTTCGCCTGGCTGACGACTACCGCCGGACATTAGCCCGGCCATTGTTGGGCCACTGCCCAGCCAACGACTGCAGCTGGACCACTGTCGGACCTCTGCGTGGCCGCTGACCGCCGCCAGACTTTAGCGCAACCTTCGTCGAACCACCGCCCGGCCGCCTTACGCCGCCGTACCTCCGCACGATTGCCGGACTTCAATCCGACCTTTGTCGAACTACCGCCAGGCCGCCGGACCTCTGCCCGACCGACGACCGCCGCCAGACTTTAGTCTGACCTTCATTGGACCACAGCCCGACCACCGACAACACGCCGGACCTTCGCCCGATCGACGACCGCCACTGGACTTCAACCCGACCTTCATCGGACTACATTGTCAGCTGAATTTCTGCACAAAAACCGTCGAACTTCCGCCCGACCGCTGTCAGACCTTTCATTAGCTCTCCAAATTAATGTAATATGACCACCTCTAAATCGAGGGATGGGTCAGCCCTTGTAATTAACTCAATTTTAGTGGATTCTTTTCACCTGGGGCAAGGCCCCGTGGTGTTTCCCTCTTTGGGCTTTCCACGTAAAAAAGTTCGGGTGTTTTCCTTCTCCCTTTCTGCTTGCGTGTTGGATCTTCGTACAATGCTAAGACGCTAAACTTTATTTTCTCTACCGCTGCGAATATTCATGGACGCAACAAGAAGCAATAAGAAAGCCGTACCAAACAAAGTCTTAGATATTCATATGTGGAGATATTTCAACTTGATATGTAAGAAACTTTTTTTAAAAAAATAATTTTAGAAGAAGAAAAAATAAATAAACAAACTAAATTAAATTCATATGAAGCAATGAAGAATTTTGATCTTTGAAATTTTGATTTAAGGTGTTATTTTCAACACTTCAGTTTAATATTGAATCTCTACAATTGATTATTATATTTTCTTTCGAGATAGTTATAAATAAAAAAATATCACAAGAATTCTAAGCAAATGTAAGGTTGAGGTTATCTACTTTTATCCCTTTATTAATAATTTTTTTATGCAATATTAGCAGTGATGAGAATTCTCATTTTATTGAACATAAGTAATACAAACTAACTTATTTGTTAAAGGAGAAAAATTAAAAAGTTATAAGAAAATTATATGAATTTGTTTAATTATTTTAAATATGGAGTTATGAACAATCTATACTGCCAAATTATTAATAAAAAGGGGGATTTACATACTTGCCACTTTATTATATCTATATTACATATTTAACACCAACAAATTAAATATTACATTTCTACCACCTAAATACTAATTTTACAACATAAATACCACTCCAGTCTTCACTCCGTCGGACCATCGTCCGTCCGCCTCTTCGCAAAGGAGAAATGCCAAATTGGCTGGAAAGATTTCGGTCTTTGAAGAAATAAGTGCAAAGGAGCCAATTGACCTCTCTGCTTCCAGTTATATACATTTTTTATGTTGAACGATGGAGAAAACCCAAGCCTTTATTTTCATAAGGAAGATGTTCTGCTATGCATGCTTCCCCTGTTCCATATCTATTCCCTTAACTCTGTTTTGCTTTGTGGGCTGCATGCGGCTCAGCTATTGTGACAATGAAGAATTATGTCTTCGTGAAGTTGATGGAGTTGGCGGAGAAGTACAGGATTACGGTGGCGCCATTTGTGCCGCCCATAGTGGTGGAGATAGCGAAGAGTGAGGCGGTGGACAGCTATGACTTATCATCGATGAGGATGGTGATGCCAGGGGCGGCACCAATGGGAAGAAATTGCAGGAAACACTTACGACTAAGCTTCCTAACGCTAAACTTGGACATGTACGTTGATAGTGTTCATGATAACGATTACGTCGTCAGTTTTCGACTGGGCACGAAGGCGATCGGCGAGGATATCGAAGGCCAGCAGCAGCCAGCCGCTAAGAGGCGGACAATGGTCGAAATGCGGAAGGAAGAGACGGAGTGAACACTGAGTGGTATTTCTGTTGTAAAATTAGCATTTGAGTGGTAGGAATGTAATATTTAACTTTTTGGTGTTAAATATATAATATAGATATAATAAATAATTTTCCCTAATAAAAATAGTTTATTGCCTTTTAAAAATTTCCTTTAAATATATATTTTTTAGCCTTACTATAAAATGCACCACCGCTTAATAGTACCCAAAAGATCTGAAGACGGATAGGTTCGATTGTTCGATTGATAGAGCAGAGAGAAGAAAAAATCGGGAGAGGATGATGTTGAGGGCCGGAGGAAAGCGACTTCTAGGGATAGGGTTTGTGCGTCAGGTGGCTGCTTCGCCTGCCGCAGCGGCAACGGCAACGGCAACGGCGGCTCGGAGTTACCACGAGAGGGTGGTGGATCACTACAATAACCCTAGAAACGTTGGAGCCTTTGACAAGAAGGATCCTACGGTGGGAACGGGGCTGGTCGGGGCCCCGGCGTGCGGCGACGTCATGAAGCTCCAGATCAAGGTCGACGAGAACACGGGAAAAATTGTGGATGCCTGTTTCAAGACCTTTGGATGCGGTTCCGCCATCGCTTCGTCATCCGTTGGTATGCTTTTAGTTATAATGGTTTTTTTTTGTTTTTACCTTTCTTTGTTTTTTCCGGAGCGGTTGTCGGATGATTAGGGTAAAAGGCGGCTCCTTTTGCTAATTGTTGGGGATTGAAGTTGCTTTGTGAGATTAAATATGCCATATGTATTTGTGCATGGATTGTAAATACGTGGAGAGAAATTTAATTAGGGGTTTGGCTACAAGTAGGATTAATTCAATTAGGATTTAGCAAATCCTGTCAATCTGGATCTAGCAATTCTTTCAGTATTTAAGAGTTAAATGAATATAAAATATCTAAAGCCAATTTATACTCTTTTGAAGATAATTAATTTTTAATGTTCTTACAATTGATTTTTTTTCATAATTAGTGTACCTGATATCATAAAACTATTTAAGACCCTGTTTTTAGAAAACATAACTGTTGAATCCTTAATTAATTTTACTCCTCCCATTGATTATTACCTTCATTCTGATATTTTAAATATGTTAGTAATTTTTTTATGAAAATGTGATTCCAAGCTTAACCTTTCTTCTGATTTTTCAAGGCAAAACTAAAATACAATTGAATAATAGAGATGCTTTTACTTCCACAACTACAGTCGCCATAGTAGAAGATGAAAGCAAAAAGTGAAGCAATCACCTGCGACCTTATGAATTTTGGCGTTGATGATTGTATGGCTTGACAGAGGATTGCACTTGAAACATTTCCTCCTCAAAATCTGACTTCCCCCACTAAAAAAAATGTAGAAGTCATAGTTATGAGGTTGATCTTGAGGATGGGATTGCAATGGATTAGCACAAGAGGAAATTACAGATCGTGAGATAATAGAAAAGAAAGTAAGTCATTGGCGAGTGAGATTTGTTAAATCCAACTTCCCCCACTATTTATCAATTAGGGTAATGCTTAAAAAATGTAGATTGAACGTGATTGAAGTTTGTTGTCGGACTTACATGGCCTCAAAAACTATTTTGCAACATTCAACCTAAATTCTTGTTGAATCTTGTAACCAAATAGCTCCATAGGGGCTGTTTGACTAAATTAGGATATAGTAAATCCAATGAAATTGAGTTTAGTAAACTTCAAGGTGTTAAATCTTGAAAATTGCAAGGTATGATGTTTTTCAGATGTGGTTAAATCTTGCCAAATTGTTTGGCTTTTGATTTCAATATGTAAGTTTTAAATGCCTTTGAGATTTAACCAAAACAATAGAAATGATGCTTGAAAATGAAGATAAGAAGAATTTCACACACTAATATGCGTCTAACAGTTTTAGAAATTTTGAATAAGCATCCAATATTATTCATGGTTTATCACGGTGACTATGAAATGAATGTGTGGCGGTGGTGGTGATGGAGAGGTGATCTTCATTGCTTCATGAACAAACACCCTATTGCATAGAAACCCTTTAAAGGATTTCATAATGAAATACTAACATCGCTGTCGTCAAATCGAGAAATTAGTTATATAATTTCAAAGGCTTGACAAATCACAATAGAGTCATTTGACTCGTTGCGTATCATTTAACTCTTCTAAATTATAAACAGGATCTTGCCCGACTTACAAAGTGCACCACTTATTTGAATTGAACAATGTTGGGATAAATCTCTGCTATCTAAATGAATTTTAGAGAAAATTTGAACCTAGGTCATGGATGATTTGAAAAAAAATAAAGTAATATACTAAGAAATAATTTTCTTTTACTTGTATGGCTTGCAACAATACTCCTGGAAAAAAAAAAGACGGTCTATAAATTTAATGGCTTCACCAAAGCTTGTGAGAAGCAATTCAAATTTCAATTAAGGTAGTATGTTTGCAAAATTAAACACACCTGATAATTCAACAGAAAATGTAACCCTTGATCCAATTCCTCCCATTTAACCATAGATCAGCTAGCAGTGTATCTACTTGGATCTAGGGCTGACCACAGGACAAAACCAAAAATATTATTGCAACAGCTCTATAGCAGTGGATGGCGAAGGAGATGAGAGCGAAGCAATAGTTAGTAGTGCTTGACGATGAATACCTTAGAGGAAAGAAGCATGAGGGAGAATGGTTTCCGGGAATTCATGCAATTCTTTTTTTTTTTTTTTTTGTGATCTATTTTTTATTTTATTTTTTGTTTATGAAAAACATTGTTTTTTATTAGCACTAACTTATTTCTTTTGTTGTTCCTTTTGTCTTCAGCTACTGAATGGGTGAAAGGGAAGAAAATAGAAGAAGTTTTGTCCATCAAGAACACGTGAGGGATTCCTTCCTTTTCCATTAAGTGTGTTTTCTTTTTCAGTTCATGCTCCATCGCATGTTTTGTGCTTGCCTGATAATATGTTACTCGACTATTAGTGAGATGCATGCTTTATGCGCATAAAAAAAATTACAATCAAGTTTAATAGTAATTTTTTTAAAGTCAGTCTAGGAAATTTGAAATTTGAAATTTGAAATGAACATTGTTGTCAAGATGGCATCTTTTTATGTCACTATCCTATTAGTTATTAATGGATTCATATTATTTTGATGCTCCTCAAGCATCAGTTTTCTTTTATAAGTAATAAAATGTAATTACATAAACAAACTCGTGATATTCAAAGTTGACAAGCAGTAACTTACTGGTGAAATTGAAATGATGAGGTGTGGGTTTGGACGATAGTTCATTGCAATATATTATGTATTGAGTTATACTTCAAAGTGAAGTCCTATCGATTTAATTTTTATGGGACAAAAAAAGAATCACTTTGTGTGTATAGTAAAAATTTAACTAAAAGTTTCAAATTATATTGAAGAGTGCAAAGTATATTGAAGAATGCGCTTACCATGCTCCCCACAAGCTTTGTGCGTCCTCCACTTTGATCCATGAAGCAAACCAAGTCCTCTCTACTCTAACAACAACTTGTCTAGTTGATTCATCGCCATTAAACCATCATTCTCTTTCCTTCTCGAGCTCCTTTGTGGCTGTTACCCTTACCATGCAAAATCTCTCTGCTTCAATTTACGTGCGGATTATGTTTGGATGCTCCACCACTGCGGCACCGGTGCAAATGCTGTTTACTAGACATATCTCCAGTTTTAACTTTCTCGTTGATAGTGATGAGGATATTCTTGCTTCTTTTAATCTCCCTCCATCCTGCCTGTTACTTTTGAAGCGCTTCTTGACAGTTCTTGTATATTATGTTACTTTTGAAGCGCTGATATTGAATGATTTCATACTAGTTCTCTGAATGATTTCATACTATTTCTTCCTAGAATTCGCTTCCTTTTGCTGGTGACTTAATTATGTCGGAAGGGATTGCAAGTTATAATGCAATGACTTCTGCATTATCAGATTTCAAAATTTTTGCATTTCATTGGTAAAAAATTTCTCATGAAGTATTCCTTGATTAATTAATGACCGTGCTTAAGTGAATATTTAAGATAATTATATGAAATATCAGTCTGAATTTAATTTCTTTTTATATATTATTATATAATCCTCTCTTCCTCTACCATTTGCCGTCAACTGGTATTTTACTCCATTTTGCCAGTTCCCAAGTCCTAGATGATAAATGTGGAGGGTTGCGTTATGTAGTCGACAGCCAGAATAAAATTTATATAATAATCATGACATAAATCCTTTAAAAAATTGTGTTAATATTAGGGGTCCCTTGGAAGCGACGCGCTGTATGGCCTGAATACAGTGACAAGTGTGCAAGGGCCGTTGCACCGGCTCCTAGGTGTAGTGTTAAATAGGCAAAGGTTTTCATATCAATGACAGATATGGGCAAAGAAGCTAGTCCATGAAATTAAAATTAGGATAGAAACTTGGAATAGACTTCCTTACAGGTTAATTAATGGAATTAATAGATATTATGATTCATATAAAGATAAATATTCTATGTATTCAAAAAACTAAATGGTTTAGAGAGAAGGCTAAAGAGATTGATAGTTTATGATATAAATTATGGTATTCAGGTAAGTATCAGACTAGAAATGGTGTAGGTGTGATTATATTTAAGAGTTTGAAAGATAATGTCATAAAAATTAACAGAATTAGAGATAGAATTATAGTTTTAAAGATTGTTGTTGATGCTAAGATTGTTAATATTATAAGGGTTTATGCTTCTCAAGTAGGTTTGGATATGTGTTCGAAATTAAAATTTTGGAATGACTTAGAAGAATTAATACAAAAGATAACCTTTGAAGAAAGAATTTTATTTGAGGAGATTTAAATGGATATGTTGGTAGAGAGGTAGATGATTTTAAAAATATTCATGGTGGTTAAGGTTTTGGAATGACAAATGAAGGTGGTAAGACCTAAAGACCATATTAGATTTTTTTAGCTTATGATTTTCTAATAACTAATAGCTTATTTAAGAAAAGAGATGAGCATCTTATCACTTATAAAAATGGATATAGTAAAACACAAATTGATTATTTTCTTATAAGAAAATTAGATCGTTTAGATTGCAAAGATTGAAAAGTTATTCCGAGTGAAAATTTATGTACACAACATCGATTATTAGTTTTAGACTTTAGCATAAAGGGGTAGAAAATAAAAAAAAAATAAAGTTTAACGATTTTCTAGGATTAGATGGGGCATTTAAAGAATATTTATAAAACTATTTTTGAGAGTAAGGTTTTAGATATTTTTGTCTGTGCATGATGATGCTAATGTTATGTGAAAAAAAGTTGCTAGTGATATTAAGAATATTGCAAAAGATGTGCTTGGAGTTTCGAAGGAAAAAAAACTCATAATAGTAAAAATAGTTGGCGGTGGATTTCAAATGTGCAATAAAAGATAAGAAATAAAAAGATTTGTTATAAAAATTGGTTTAGATGTAAAAATTTTGATAATTGGGAAAGCTATAAAGAGGCTCGTAAGGGTTCTAAGAAAGCTATTTGCGATGCAAAGAACTTAGCTTTTAATAATTTATATAATAGATTAGATACTAAGGAGGGAGAAAGATATATGTATAAGTTAGCCAAACTAAAAGATAGGAGTATTAAGGATTTAATTCAAGTGAAATGTATTAAGGATGAAGATCAAAAAATATTTTTCTTAGAAGAAATTCAACAAAGGTGGATGAAATATTTTGCTTAACTTTTTAATAAAAATATGAAAATACGATTGGCTTTACTGACTTTAGTACCATAAATGAAAATAAAGATTTTTATTTTTATCGGCGTATTAGTAAAACCGAAGTTAGAGATGCTTTAAAGAAAATGAAGTGTGGAAAAGCTGTTGGACCTGATGATATTCCAATAGAGATGTAGAACTTAGGAGATGAAGGAATTTCTTGGCTTACTAAACTTTTTAATACTGTTTTGAAGACTAAAAAGATGCCCGATGAGTGGAGAATGAGTGTGTTAATTCCTATTTTTAAGAATAAATGTGATGCACATGAGTGTGTGAATTATAGAGGAATTAAGTTAATGTGTCATACTTTAAAACTATGAGAACGAGTTATGAAGCGTAGGTTACGGCGTGATACTAATGTTTCTCAAAATCAATTTGGATTCATGCCTGGTAGGTCTACTATGGAAGCCATACATTTGTTGAGTGGTTTGATGAAGAAATATAGAGAGAATAAGGAGGATCTACATATGATATTTATTGATTTAGAGAAAATATATAATAAAGTTACAAGAGAAGTGCTATGCAGAGCTCTTGAAAAGAAAAGAGTTAATAATTGTTATATTCAAATCATTAGAGATATGTATGCAGGAAGTATTACTTGTGTTCAAACACAAGGTGGTTTGACCAAGTATTTTCATATTTCAGTTGGATTACATTAAGGATCAGCCTTAAGCCCATAACTTTTTTGCTTTAGTCATGGATGTTCTCACTAGACATTTGCAAGAGGATGTATCTTGGTGTATGCTTTTTTGCTTATGATATTCTTCTTGTTGATAAGACTAGAGAGGGAGTTGAATGTAAACTTGAATTATGGAGGTCAACCTTAGAGTGTAAAGGTTTTCGCTTGAGTAGATCTAAAAATGAATATATGGAGTGTAATTTTAGTAGCAATATACCTAATGAGGGGATTGTGACTTTGGGTGATCAAATCATTAATAAGAGTACATGCTTTAGATATCTTGGATATATTGTTCAGAGTGATGGTGAAATATATGGGGATATTATCAGCAGAATTCAAGTTTGATGGTTGAAGTGGAGGAATGCATCAGGCTTGTTGTGTGATAGAAACGTCCCCCGCAAACTTAAGGGAAAATTCTATAAGATGGTGGTGACACCTGCAATGCTTTATGGTGCCGAATGTTGGCCATTAAAAGAGAAGCATAATACTAAATTAAGTGTTGCAGAGATGAGGATGCATAGGTGGATGAGTGACTTTACCCTTAGAGATAGTATTCAAAATGAGCATATACGTGAAAAGGTTGGAGTAGCTCCAGTGGTAGATAAGATTAGAGAGAGTCGCCTTAGATGGTTTGGTCACATTAAACGGAGGCCTTCCGATGACCCGGTTAGGAAAGTTGAGGTATTAGATTTGACTTACCTTAAGAAAGGTAGAGGTAGACCTAAAAAGATTTGGTTAGAAAATATTAGAAATGATCTTTCTTTATTAAATATAAATGATCTTTATTAAATATAAATGAGAATTTGACTTTTAACAGGACACAATGGCGAAAAAGGATTATATAGCTGACCCCATGTAGTGGGACAAAGGCTTGATGTTGTTGTTGTTGTTGTTGTTGTTTTGCATTCGTTGAAAAAAACATGACCCTTGTATATTGATTTTGATAAATATTATCTGTATAATAGGTTTATGTTAATCTCCTGTTCTTAAAAGTGATTTGTTAAAAACCAATCTAGTCCTTTCATTCAAAATAGTTTATAACTTAGATTAGTTATTTCAATGCAAACCCTTTCCACACTAATCAATCAGATATTTACTTTTGAAGAACTAAAATCCAATTCGCAATTCATTTCATATATATATATTTTCTCGTCCTTATTTTCTTTCATTTATTAGTTTTGACTTTTTGAGGGGTGGACCTGTATGTGAGACTTATGCTTCATTTGGGATAGCTTTCTTAAGCGGTTTTTAATTACAAAAATTTATTAAACATAAAATTTTGTACTAAAAAGCTGCGTTAGAATGCAGTAGAAAGCTGACCCAAATGAAGCCGCAGTTTGCTCGTTATGACTGTGATCTATAGGGAAGTTTTATGAAAACTGATTTTATTATATTGAAATTTATTTTGAGATCCATTATATAAATGTATTATTGCACTCATTTTAAAATAAATCAATAACGATAAAACAAATCAAATAACAAAAAAATTCATCCTTAATTTTTTTCTGATCTATGAAGTTGAAATGGTCATTTGCTGAAAGAAAGGGTTGCAGTAGCATGCATTAATCTTCTTTATACTACGAATGTGAACGAGCATTGTGCACGTTATGAGCATGTTGATATGTTCTCTTTCCTTCTGTGTTACATTTTCCTAGCCTTGCCATTCTGAAGCATTCCGTACTCAAACCTATTAGCATGGAAATGATGAATGGATACACCTTGACCGAGAAGATTATAATCTCAATAGAAAAGATATGGGTATGGATATCCTGACTTGAAATTTGATCTAAATGAATTTTCTAATAATTGGATTTATTTAAAGACAAATATAATATAATTATTAATTGATTGATTATGTATTGTATTTATTTCAAAACAAATATAATGTGACTAGAAAGCCCATCCTTTATAAATTTGGGTGTTGATATCCTGACCCAAATTTTCACCAGCCTCAACTTCTACCTTTTGTTGAAGACGATCCTTATAAAAATGATACCATGAATTTAAATTCCGATCATAATTTTTTGCTGCCAATGGTATGCCAAACTGCTTAATGTGTTGCTGTATTCCTTGATGAAATGCTGGTATTATATGTTGATGGTCTCCAATTTGAAGTAAGTACTACTGCTCTTGCTCTTTTGACATTGCACGCTTCAGATTGTCATTTAATGGCCCTCAAAGACCTCAAGCAAGTGAAGATTGACTTGATGAAAAAAAAAAAAAAACTTTGCTTCAACAAAATGAGAAAGGAAAATCTTATGTCATGATATTTGATATAAATTTGATCATGATTTTATAATCATTAAATTTACTTTGGCTTGAGTGATTGATCATTTAGTTTTTCAGTGCATTGTTCTCGAAGTAAATTCAATGACTATAAAGCACGTCCTAATCAAATTTAAAATCATGATATTCTTCTGTGTTCTTATTACGCTCATCAACTCTCAGCCAATTCCTCCTCGTTATTATTTTTTATAACCCTCGGTTTTGTTTATCAATGTATGCTTTATGCTTCGTTTGATTACCCGATGCCTTTTGTAAAAGCTAGTTTTAAAAATTTTGTTTGAGAGAATGGAGGTTTCTAACGGTGAAGCCAACACTAAAAAGCTTACAAAATGAAATTTCGTAAAAAACAGTTCTACAAAAATGTCACATACAAATCGCAACCTAAAAATAACTATCTTTTTGAAACAGAAAAGATAAAATTAAGCCATCTCAAATGAGACCTTAATCACTTGAGATATTGCGGAAATGATTCCAACTCACTAATAACATCCCTTTTTGTCTCATTATTTGATGCAGAGCAATCGCAAATCATCTCTCGCTTCCCCCGGTTAAGCTTCATTGCAGCATGCTTGCAGAGGATGCGATCAAGGCGGCTGTCAAAGATTATGAAAAGAAGAGGGACAAATTGGGACAGAACAAAGAGCCTGCTTTGGACACAGCAGAGAAAGCCGCTAATGCCTAGAAATTTATCCTGTAAATCTGAGCTTATATAAATATATGCTTTGTTCCACATGAAGTCAGGAATAATCGGTATAGACAGATGGAAATTATGACTCTATGAACCTTAGGAATATTTGACCAGTGTATTAAAAAATTACCATAGGTCTTTGTACTGTTTTCTAATGTTTGCTGATGATATATATATGCCTGCTATGAACACACCATGCCTTCTTTTATTCATATTTCTCTGTGTTTTTCCAATTCTGGTATTATAAGCTCAACACATGTGATGTTACATTACGCTCATATTTCCTTCTATCTGCTTTCCATAATCATCTGAGGCTTCATTTGGAATAGCTTTCGCGTTGCTTTTAAATACATTTTTTTTAATAGAAAGTTGTTTCAAATAGCAGTAAAAAAGCTGTCCCAAACGACCGTAGGAAACAAAGATCTAAAATGCCAGGTATCTTTCATCACCTTCATCTCCATGTAGATCCTTTTCATGTCATTCATTGCTAATGAGCAGTCAAATATTCTTGATTGATTTATCTTAATATCTTATGTCATTTATACTAATAATTTGAGAAAGGCATAATTTTTAAAATATTTCTTCATGATATATCTTAGCACAAATAAGAAGCTTGGTTAAAATAAGATCATTTGTCAAGAATGTTAATCATTCTTACACATAAAAGAAAAAAAAAAAGTATGCATTCAGAAAGGTTTAGTCCTTTTGATGGAACAAGTTCTTAGAATTTCTAATCATTATAGCATAAAAGATTGAGATCTTTTTAGTTATCATTTCTTCTAGCTACTTGATTGTAAACATTCACCAAGCTTGTGTAAAGAAGCATACACTTAGTGGTTGTACAAATAAGTAATCTTTATCAACATCATAATATAGCTAGCTTAAAACCCAAAAAAAAAAAAAAAAAAAATCTTTATCAACATCATAAGGGATTTTATGAAGTCTTCTATAGACTTCAATTTGCCATATGAGAAAAGAAAATGCCTCTTTCAAGGGAAGATAAAGACTTTACCATATGGACTAGAAGTCATGAAAATCATCAGGAGACTAATGTCGGATCGCTGCCAAGCAACTGCTATTAAAAGACTATAGCTACTCGATTTCCATCACTACTGTCGTCGCCTAACCAATACTATTAGATAGTTGTCACATGACCACAACCTCACTTGGCCACAACCTTCCCAATGCCTTTCACCCCATGTCGACTCTACGATATTTTCTATTAGCTCGCATACTTTGTATTCTTGCCATCTCCTAATTAAGGGACATGTTGTAATAGCCCAAAATTTTAACTATCGAGACATTATTCACTTTGGCCTAAGAGCCTCACAGTTTTGTTTTGTTGGTGTAACTTCTAAGGAGGTCATCTATCCCAGTATTTCTCCGGGATGAGCACGCTTAACTGTAGAGTTTCATAATGAAGTTCTGACTATTACACCAACATACGTGTTGATGTTTAAGAATTTAACTTCCTTATATTTAAGGGGTTTCACAATTTCTCCTATATAAGTAGCTAATGTCCCTGTCAATATTTTTTATCACATAATCATTATCAGATATATATGATTATAAAGGTGGCCCTTACAAGTTCAAGTGATGAATCCCGCCACGTAGCACTTTGTCCCAAATATGATTTAAGAAGTGACTCTCATGATGTAACATTTTGTCTTGTATGATACTTAATTCCTATCTTCCACCTGATGTATTTCTCTAATATCATTTGTAATAGCTCAAACTCTTAATTATCGAGATATTGTCCTATTTGGTCTAAGGGTCTCACAATTTTTCTGTTGGTGTAACTTTCTGAAGGTAAAGTATCATAATATTTCTTAAAAATGAGCACACTTAATCATAGATTTTCATAATGAAATTTTGACTATTGCACCGAAAGGCGCCACGAAGTTTAAGAGTTTACCGTATCTATACTTAAGATATTTCACACATGTAAACCTTTGTAATCAATGTTCATATAGTGTAATCATTTCAATTCAACATGTCTTGTGGTTTTCTCATTTTTTTTACTTTTCACATAAGAAATTTGATGTTGCACGTGTTCTTTTCATATATTTATTTGTGTGCTAGATACTTTCATGGAGGTAAGATGCAAAAGTCTTTTATTTTAACACAACAAATTTTTTAACTGGCAACTATATGCATTTAATGTAAATAAAAATCATAATTAATAATTACAATTAATATAATTTATTGCATGAGGGCCTGTTTGGCAATAATAAGGATTTAACTTTTGTAGTATATAGTAAATAATGTAAATTCTGATTTCATAAATCTTACTAAAGTTAAATCTCAAAAAAATATTTGATAATATAAATGTTAAATTCCCTTTAAATCTTATGAAACTGTTTGACAATATAATCATTAGATTTATTCATTTAAAATTTAAATTCATTTATATTTTTCGTAGAAATTAATGATTCATTTAAATTTTAATTAGCATCAATAATTTATAATTATAAATAATATAATTAAAAACTAGTTTGATTATCAAATAATATAATTATTAATCAGAATATTAATCATCTAATATTATCTAACTGAACTAATAATATAACTTAGGGATATTTTTGAGTTGATTATCTAATTACTATTATAAATATTAATAACTTAACTAATTATATAATTACTATTACTATTTAGAGTAGTTTCTTAATTATTATTTAGAAATTAGAATATTAATTATCTAATTTATTATTGAATTACTAATTATCTAATTAATTACTATATTATAATTAAAATCTTCTCTTCCGATAGCGCAACTAATTTCTACAGTGTACTTTTCGCTTCTCCATTTCTTCGTTGCAGTTGGACTTCGCCTGCGGTAGGTTTTGAACGAGCGGGCGTCTTAGTCTACTTCGACGACGTTCCTTCCCGTCGAATCGGAAGTCGCGACAGTTCGCCATTCTTCCTGTTGGATCGGAAGTAGCGACGGAAGCTTGCTCGCTGCGAAGGTAACTATCTTTCTCTCTTTCGCGCGCTTCTTCGGTCAAATACCTTCACAAATCCGCCGAACTCCAGGATTTTGTAAATCCGGGATTTACGGAAAAAAGGGAAACGGAGGATTTATTCCCCGTGGGATTTACCGGCTGCTCAATTTAGCATAAATCCTGCTCAAATGCTGCATAAATCCTGTTGCCAAAGAGCCACTAAGTTTGACAATTTAACTTAAGATTAGGAGTGAAAATCGCAACTACCGTCTCCCACGATCTCTCTTTTAAGTTCGTTGGAAATCGCGAAGGAGAATGGTAAAGAGATACTGTAGGAAATCTCCTTCTCATTTTTCTTTATTTTCCCCGCAGTCCCTTTAAATCCCCCGATTCTGATCCGTCAGCCTATCAAAATCTATTTCTCGAATATCTCCAATTTTAATCTTTATTTATAGGGCATTAACTTTCTGTTGGCTTTTCAATATACTGAGTTCCGTTATTTATTTTGATTCCTATTTAGTTGGGGCAATAAACTCCTTTTTCAAGAAATATCTTTTACCATAAATTTAGATTTTTATGGTTGGTGAATTGGGTTTACCATGTTTAGAGAACTGGCGTGGAATCAATACACTGCTAGGGCTGTTAGTCAAATAAAAAGCTATTGTGTTTTTTGTTTGGCAACTCTATTGGAACCATTCCTAACTTTGTAATGCTTTAATTTCACCACCTATAACATTTATTGATGCTGTTTAGTTGGGCAGGAGGTTGCAGGGTAGAGGATTTATGGCTGGGAATTTCAGTGATGATGAAGGAAACAGCAAAGGAAAAAGTTTGGAGGAATATACTAAGGTGAAGAGGGAAGGGAAGGAGATGCATCGTTCTAGTTCGAGGCCACAGCTTGACCTCAGTGGAGCTGCAATTCAGAGCAATTCTGAGGAGAGGAACCCCACTATTTTGCTGCCTAATCAGTCTGATGACATCTTTCACTTGGCCTTGGATATTGGAGGTCTTGAATGCTATTTATATTGACCCCTATTATTATTTGATGTCCCTGCTATTGTTTTTGTTGGAGAGTGGCAATATATAATATGAATGATCTTGTCTGCTTTGCTACTGCAGGTGATATCCTTTACAACTTGAATCATCTCGTTTCCTGTTTTTGTATGAAATGGATACTATTATCTTCACCTTCTCTTCTTAAAGCATGTTATAACAAACTATGTACATTTTCTTTTATTTATTTATTTTTTTTCCTCAGTGTTGATTGTTCAAAGGTTAAAATTTCCATGCTTGTGTTCCCTTGTCTCTGCTATTTTCTTCCATTGATGCCTATATGCATAACAGTATAGAACTATGTTGATTATGGCTTCGTTTGGGATGACTTTTTTACTGCTTCTTAAAGTGGCTTCCTAGTATAAAAATTTAAACTTTTGTACTAAGAAGTTGTTTTTAGAAGTGGTAAGAAAGCCGTCCCAAACGAATCCAATATGTGAATAATGTTATTATGCAAATAACGCACATGCATACGTCCTATCTCTTATTTGAGTAAATTTGATTACACCATTGCTTGGTACTAACCACGTTTAAATTTTCGTTTAGTTGTTTTTGACCGCACATAGTGTTCATTTGATTCTGCCTCAAGACTGTTTTTTTTGCTTTTATTATATTCTGCTCATTCTTATACTTGTCAATATGGAAGTACATGATGAGTTTTGGAGAAGATTTATGTAATGCTACCGATAGGTGCTTGTTGTTAAGGTTAATGTCCAAGGACTTGGATGAGTGGTACAGATATTTGAACATCTTTTACTGAACGAATCATATTCTATTCCCATTGTTAAATTTTTTAATTTGATGGATGACAGCATATGCATAAATTGTAAATAAATAGGTTGATAGACAAAATTTCAATTTTTACTGATATTTGCAGCTTTAGATCAGTCAAAGCAACCCACGTTGGGATTTTAAATAGTGCATTTAAGGAGAATAATGTTCAAATATCATTATTTTCATCCCATAAACCTTCTTTCATATGTACCTCACAATATTCTTGTGGTTCTAGGATCACTCATTAAGTTGATTTATTTCTCACGTCATGAGGAGCTTTCCCAAGATGATAAGAGGAGAAGGTTTATGAAGAAAAGACTTGGGATCTTTAATGGCAAGAGGCGTAGCTGCCCAATACTTGGTGGGAGGCTCCACTTCGTGAAATTTGAAACTGGGAAGCTGAATGAATGCCTGGATTTTAT